GCTGCTGCTGCTGCTGCTGGTGGTGGTGGTGCTGCTGCTGCTGCTGCTGCTGCTGCTGCTGCTGCTGCTGCTGCTGCTGCTGCTGCTGCGGCGGCTGCTGCTGCTGCTGCTGCTGCTGCTCCAGCAGGTCCAACTGCCGCAACTCCTACCGCTCCCTCTCCAACAGCACCTGCTCCTCACGCTCACGCCGACGGGCCGCCTGGAGACGTGTGTCGTGGCGGTGGGGAGGCGGAGTGGACTCCGCAGAACCAGTGCCTCCAGCTCCAGTCTCCTCAGAACCAGCACCTCCAGTGCCAGCGCCTCCAGCACCAGCACCCCCAGAACCAGCACCCCCAGGACCAGCACCTCCTGTGCCAGCACCTCCAGCTCCATCACCCCCAGAACTAGTACCGCCAGTGCCAGGACCTCCAACTCCAGCACCCCTAGGGCTAGCGCCACCTGCGCCAGCACCTCCAACTCCAGCACCCCTCAAACGAGCACCCCCGGACCGAGTACCGCCAGTGGCTGCACCTCCAGCTCCAAAACCAACTGAGTCCACAGTAGCCTGTCGCGGAAGTACCGAAGGCTGCTGAGGGGACTGTGAGGAGGACTGCGGGGAGGGAGCCGCTACCTGACGCGCGACCGAGGGTAGAGGGGTAGCGTGAGACACACCTGACGGGGCAGGACCAGGGGGGGGTGGGGGTACCGGAGGAGCGGGAGCAGGGGGAAGAGAGGGTGCGAGGAAAAGGGGGGGAAGGGGAACCGGGAGACCTCGACAGGGGTACCGGGTGTAGTAGGACACTGACTCGTCGAACCGGACGTCACGGGAGTCTAGGAACTGGTGGAGGGGCGGGTGGTAAAAAGACCAGTCGGCCGAGGCTACCGGGAAACCAAGGAAGACACAGGGGACGGCGCGAGCCGAGAGCTTGTCCGCAGAGGTGTCGCGGACAAGCGCAAGGCAGCCCCAGACACGAAAAGCTGACCCAACACCAGGGGACCCGGTCCAAAGACTGGTCGGTGAAGCCTCTGGCCGCGAGACGCGCGGCTGGAGGTTCAGCTGGTGAGCGGCGTAGCGAACCGCGTAGGGCCACAGAAAATGGGGCGCACGGGCATGAATCATGGACGTGCGGGCGATGTCCATGACCAAGCCAATGCGGCGCTCAGCAACCCCATTCTGCTGTGGGGACTCTGGCAGCGTCCAGGACTGTACGATGCCCTGCTCGCCGCAGAATCCGGCAAGAATGCCTGAGCGAAACTCACCCCCACGGTCAGAGTGGAGACAGGAGACACGACGGCCACGAGTGCCCTCAGTGGCTAGAAGCCACCGGATCAGCGTAGAAGTCACCTCGGACTTCTTCGCGAGAGGAAACACCGTGGTGTACCTGGAGAAGTCGTCGACGACCACCAGAAAGTAGCGCTCCCTCTCAGGTCCCTGCGTAGGTGCAGGGCCCCAGACATCCAAGTGGAGTGTCTGGAAGGGAGCAGTGGCCGGACGAAGGGAGGAGGAGTGCGGAGTGGCACGAAGACGGCCGGCGACGCAAGGAGTGCACGGCGGCGCAGGCGAGGGAGGGAGCGACAGGAAGACGCGAGGGAGACCTGAGACAAGACGGTGACCAGCCATAGTGCGGAGGTGGGGGATCGACGCGTGGCCAAGACGGTGGTGCCACAAGACGGTCCGGTGGGTGAAAGACCGACACGAGCAAGACTCAGCAACTAGACCGGACACAGCAACATGACCGGACACAGCAACCTAACCGGACACAGCAACCGGTGGGGACGCAGTAACCTGACCGGACTCTGCTACCGGGGGGAACGAAGCAACCTGACCAGACGCAGCTACCTGCGGGGGCGGAGTGTGCAGGACGAAGAGACCTGAGTGGGGCTCTCTGGTGAACGTGGCAAGAACTGCCCTGGTGGAAGAGTCCGTACAGATCGCAGTCCTCCCGTGCGCAGGAAAAGTGACTGTGATCCCCCGGTCCTGAAGGTATCCAACACCCACCAAGTTCCGAGAGAACGAGGGGATGTAGAGACCAGTGAGGAAACCAGAGGGGACAGCTGGGCACGGGAGGGTGGTCGAGCTGCGAGCAACTGCTGGTCCTGAAGTAGGATCAGCCAGGGCAACTGGGACTGGAGCCGAAAGAGGTGTGACAGTGGTGTGGTCGCGGAAGAAGCACTGAGACGCGCCGGAGTCCAGCGTGAAGGAGAGCGACGCAACAGCAGTCGTCACGGCCGGGCTAGTGACTACACAAGCACCTACACTAAAAGCACAAGTACCGACACTAGCAACAGGCAAAGGTCCTAAGCTAGGTACACGTAAGCCAAGAGATCCGTACGTGACAGAATAAACAGCATCTATAGACATATCAAACACAGGGTAACCACTACGAAACAGACCGGGCCAGATCGAGGGAGCCGACTCAGGCCCAAAACGCTCACGGTAAAGGTCGTCGAGGCGGCTGTAGCAGCGCTGTGCAGAGTGGTCAGGACGCCAGCAGGTAGTGCCAGCGCCAGGGCCGGTCAGGATCCGGTACTGGCAGGGGCCGACGTCGCGGCCACCGCGACGAGCCCCCCAGCTGGCTGGGCCGCTGCTGCAGCCAACGCGACCTGAACCACCAGGCCCCCACAGCTGCTGAGGGCGCCACAGCTGCTGAGGGCGCCCCTGCTGCTGCGGAAGCCACTGCTGAAACGGCCGCTGCTGCTGTCCCTGCTGCTGGAGAACCCTAGTGGACTCCATGATAAAAGCTAGCGGGGTGCAGGAGCGGCAGGGGCTAGGAGCGACAGGTGAAACTAGGCGAGGAACGGCTGGAGTACGGAGCAAACTGAGCTACGAGCGAGGAGCGAGAACGGCTGGAGCACAACTGGCTGGAGCTAGAAACGGCGAGCTAGGGCTGGCTGGAGGTAGGAACGGCCGGAGCTAGAGACCGTAGGTGCGGCTGTCGGCTGCCGCTAGTAGAGCCACTGGCAGTGGAACGTACGTGCGACAGTAGGGGCTGCAGTACTGACGGCTGCGGGATGCAGGCAACTGTGCAGGTCGTCCGGCAAGCAGGAACGCGGCCGACAGTTGCAGGCCCCCACACGAAACCCTTTTTTTTTTTTTTTTTTTTTTTTAGGGTTTATTTATTTATTTATTTATTTATTTTCTGGCGCTAAAGCGCTCCGGGGCGCGCTGCCTGCAGGGTGTGCTGCCTGCGGGGCGCGCTGCCTGCGGGGCTGGGGCGACGGGCCAGGGCGCGGGCTGGGGCGACGGGCTAAAGCGGGCGCCTGGGCGACGGGCTAGGGCGGGCGCCTGGGCGACGGGCTAGGGCGCGGGCCTGGGCGACGGGCTAGGGCGGGCGCCTGGGCGACGGGCTAGGGCGGGCGCCTGGGCGACGGGCTAGGGCGCGGGCCTGGGCGACGGGCTAGGGCGGGCGCCTGGGCGACGGGCTAGGGCGGGCGCCTGGGCGACGGGCTGGGGCGGGCGCCTGGGCGACGGGCTGGGGCGGGCGCCTGGGCGACGGGCTGGTGCGGGCGCCTGGGCGACGGGCTGGGGCGGGCGCCTGGGCGACGGGCTAGGGCGGGCGCCTGGGCGACGGGCTAGGGCGGGCGCCTGGGCGACGGGCTAGGGCGGGCGCCTGGGCGTCGGGCTAGGGCGGGCGCCTGGGCGTCGGGCTAGGGCGGGCGCCTGGGCGACGGGCTAGGGGCGCAGGCTAGGGGCGCTGAGGGCTCTAACGCGCGGAGGAGGAGGGCGCTAAGGCGCGGAGATGGCGCGGAGGGCGCGGAGGGCGCGGAGGCTAAGGCGCGGAGGGCGCGGAGGGCGCGGAGGGTGCGGAGGGCGCGGAGGGCGCGGAGGGCGCGGAGGGCGCGGAGGGCGCAAGGGTGCGGAGGGCGCAAGGGTGCGGAGGGCGCTAGGGCGCTAGCTAGGCTAGGCGAGAGGATCGACACCTCCTCTGATACCATCTCAAAGTTAGCGAACAACGGAATGTGTGAACTAGGGAAACAAGGGATACAAATAGCAACCATAAAAGTGTTGTACTCCCTAGAGTGCTACTCACTGTAGCCTAAGAACCTATAATAACATTTGACAGAGAGTGTAATGAATATGAATTCATTACTGTAGAGGCTGCTCCTAGCGAGGACAACCCCGAGCATTTCGCGTCAGTTTCGAGGTTCGGCCTACACTTCGGACCGAACCACTGCCGAGTCGCCTCGCACCAATCGCGACACTTCCAACCCATCCACGTCCCGAGGTCCTCGCCTACCACGGTTTCGACCCTATAAATGCATGCCTCTTTATCATTCTGGACATTCTGTAATCACGTTCTCTTTATAGAAGTCTTCCGCGCACTCTGTTTAGTAAAACTCATAACACTCAAGGTTCAGAACGATTGAAGCTAGCTTTGGCATGTCTTGTGTCATGGTAACCACCTCGGTGGTCTCCACGCGATTATTGACTTTACGTCTGTGGCTGTGGAAAGCCGAACCCCTTCTGACCAAATCGTTTGTCGGTGAAGCTAGCCAGCCATGGCAGGGAGAAATCCAGGCAGGCGTGATAGTTCAATTTTGGCTCTAACCCCACTCAACCGCTCTGAACTTCTGAGTGAACGCTTTGCTACACAAATCCTACCCAACCGCATTGTACAGCACCGATCCCTCACCACACACCCGTGACACCGTGAATTGTATTGTAGGTTGGTAGTTCGGTCGGACCGAGTGTAGATTTCACTCGTCTCTGCGAAAGCCCGTGTGGATCTGCCTGCATCGTCGATGTGTGTACTCTCACGGTGACGTCCTGTGGAGTTTTCAAGGTTGATGCACTGCGTGTTCCTCCGCTTTGCAGCAGTTGGCACTTAGTCGCTTTGCGCGAAGACCATGTTATCTCCGCAGCAAGTTGTCGTCGTCCTCTTAGCGGCTCTCCGACTAATCGACTAACATTAGGACAGACCTGTTGACTGCAAAGTGCTACCACGCTAGGCTGATCCACAAAGGGTTATTCTCTCTAAATCTCTGGCTCTAAAATTCTTTTGAAGGATCTGCTAACCGCAATGACATTACTCGACGTGTCGGCGGAAGCCGTACACGCAACAACCCCAGCGAGTGCTCAGGCAGACGCTGAGGCCGTTCTGCAAAAAGGTTGCGGCGAGTACGGGTGCGTACACTATCGCCTGTTATCGATTCAGTCTTTTCTTGTTCCTTTCTTCGTGTCCAGTTCCCGGGGTCACGTCCGACCAAATCCAACGGAAACGAGTGTTTTTTAGATTTGCATAGAGAGGTTGTAAGTGTGGCCTTTTGTTTTCCTTCAGATGCTCACACTACCGGAGAAGATGCAAGATCAAGGCTCCGTGCTGTAATGAGGTGTTTGACTGCCGGCACTGCCATAACGATGCAAAGGTGCCGTCCCTGCTGATACACTGGACAGTCTGCTGTATTCGATACTGATCTCCTCAAACGGATAGGTCTGATGTCCCGTAACGAAACGTTTTCCGTGGTGACGTGACGAGTCAGTCTGGTCAGATTTCGCCGTCCTGGACAGCTATCATGTTACTGATCTGATTGAATTTGTGCGATTGAGTGTGAGCAGAGTCATTCAGAGGACAAAAGCCGACATGAGATCGCTCGGCACAATATCGAGCGGGTAAGCCCGAGCAAGAACTGGAGGAAAAGTCATAAACTCTTGCGTTCCCCGACGTGCCTGTTCATTTTTTGTTTTTTTTCCGGATCTTCTGTCGTTTCATCCCCATTCGTGGTTTGTGCTCATTTGAACCTTCGTGCTGACCGGAGAGCTTTGTCATCCTGCTGTTTGTACTCGTTTTCCTTGTTGCAGGTAGTTTGCTCCTTGTGTTCGACCGAGCAAAAGGTGAGGTGCACAGATTGTCTCCTTTTTCTCACGGACGAATCATGATTTGATTGCACACGGATGCGTTTCATTCAATTTCAGGTGCTCACGATGCAACATGCTTTGTGCAAGCCTTCGGCTTCTGAAGCATGTGGGAGGAAGTGTGACATTGTGGATGGAACGGAGAGCCGTCTTTGTTTGTCATTTTCTCTCTCATATGCCCTGTTTCTTTGCCATTGTACACCTTTTTTTCGCCTTGGTTGGTTCCTCAGGTGCAGCAAGTATGCGAGGCATGCGGCGTGTGCATGGGACGGTATTTCTGCTTCAAGTGCAAGTTCTATGACGACGAGGTATGTCAGGTGATTCACATTAAGTCATGGTGTAGATAGCTTAGACAACTCAAGCTTTCATCTGCACCTGCTTGGTTTTTGAGGCAATTAAAAAAGTTGGATAAGCTGCGTTCACTGAAGCTTTGCTTTCCTTGTGCAGGTTGCAAAGAAGCATTTTCACTGTGACGAGTGCGGCATCTGCAGAGTTGGTGGCAAGGACAAGTTTTTTCACTGCGACAAGTGTGGTAAGTGTAGGTTCAGTGTGATATATGCAGCTTCAGCGTGGTGAGTGCGGTGCATGCAGGTTACCTCTCTCATTGTCGCCACCTGCTTACTCTTGGTTTGTTGTTGCCCTAGCTCGCTGTCCCATGCACTGACAGCCAACATACGCTGCTCTGCCACCATACGTCTATCCGCCACGCAGGCTGCTTCATGCGATCCTTGAGTCCATCAAAATTAGAGAACCATATGTTGACTCTCTACCCCTTTCCCTAACTCGCTACCGTGCATTGCCGCCCTTCTCTGGCTCCACACCTGTATCCCTGCAGGCTGCTGCTATGCCACCTCGTTGAGAGAGGACCACCGCTGTGTGGAGAAATCCATGCATCACAACTGCCCTGTGTGCTTCGAGGTGAGCTGTTTTTGTTTGAGTTGCTCTGGAGACCCTGGTGCTGCATGACTGTGGCATATGCTCTGGCTGACATGCCTTTTGTCGCGCGAGTGACACTTTCTTATTTTCTCTACTTAACGTGCCCCTGCTGCCTGCCTGCACCCACTCCCCTGGCAGTTTCTCTTTGAGTCGCTCCGAGAGACCTCGGTGCTGCGCGAGTGTGGGCATACAATCCACACAGAGTGCCTGGACGAGCTTCGGAAACACAACAGGTGAGTGAGGGATGTGAGCGAGGGTTTCAGTGGGGAGGTGTAACTCAAAATAGGTAGGGAATGGAGGAAAAGGGGTATGGGTGCCATTCTTGCTGTAAACCATCCTCGTTGTTGAGATTGCTAAGTCTTTGTGAAAACTTGTGTGTGTGTGTGTGTGTGTGTGTGTGTGTGTGTGTGTGTGCGTGCGTGCGTGCGTGTGTGTGTGTGTGTGCGTGTATGTGTGTGTGTGCATGCATGTGTGTGTGCAGGTATGCGTGCCCCATCTGTTGCAAGACCATGTTTGACATGTCCCGAGTGTGGGCACAGCTAGATCAGGAGGTGAGCACAGGCAGAAAGACCGTATTGTTTACATGAAAAATGTGATATTGATTTCAGGCGTTGCCATGCGAGACAGGTTGTAAGCACAGGCAGAATCAGGGGATGATCTTTTCCAATTCAGATGCTACTGTTGATCTGTGAATGGTGCTCCAATGTTGGCTTCGAGTATTTTTGGAAACTGCTCAGATTTTTTTGTTCCTGGGCTGCTTGTGTGTGTTGTCATGACAGGTTGCTGCAACACCCATGCCAGAAGCGTATCAAAACCAGATGGTAACTGTTTCACGCTCCCACATGCCTGTGCCTCATGCCTTTTCGACACTCCGCTCCTCCAGTTCGCCATCTAATGTTCCACTTCTTATTTGTGTTCTTCAGCTTCTTCCACTTCTTTCCTCCTCTTCCCTCCTCTTCGCTCCTATTCTTCCTTTGGCATTCTGAGTCATTTTGAAACTTCACCTGTTTTTTCCCTGTGAACACCTTGTCTCCCTGAACCCTCTTCAGACGCCTATCCTGTGCAACGACTGTGGGGGCAGCGGTTCTGTGCCATTCCATGTGGTGGGGCACAAGTGCCCGCACTGCGGCTCCTACAACACTCGCCAAACACAGTAGACGCACGGTGCAGCACACCGGGCGGGCATGGCTTGGCGTTTAGGGCGGGAAGTGGATGTTACAGCTCACATGGTGCTTGCGAAACCACCCATGTGCTGCAGTCGAAGGAGCCATTGGGCGGGTGAATGAAGAGTGCTGCTCTCTCAGGCAACCCCCAGACACCACCCAAGCCATCCCCCCAGCCACCACCGCTAGGCATCATGGCACCACCTCCACCCCAGCCTTGCGCCCCATCATGATCCCTGTCTGTCACCATTCAATACACACATGTACAGGCATCACCATCATCATCACCATCTCAGCCTTGAGCTGTGGCTCAGATGAACCCAGATCCCCATTTGAGCTAGCCAGACCAGGCTCTAGCTGTATCTTATCTCTCCCTAGAGCAGGCTTGGATGATCAGTGGCAGCATGGAGAACCCTCAGCGTCATGCTGACATTCTATTATTAGCAGCCAAATTGTTGACATTTGAACCTTTGCATTTGTATTTGTGCTGCAGCTAGGGCTGTCTGTCATGCCGGCAATGCAAGTTTGGGCACGCATCTTGCTCGCTTGTGAAGCTGCCAATGGAGTGATGCAGCTGCTGTCAGCTTAGGGTGTCCAATGGGCAATTGTCCAACATGTAATAACTGGTTCCAGATGCTTCTGAAGAGGTTCAGAGTGGTGCTAGGCAGAAGCTGGGTCAAGGTTTCACCATGAAGCCATACACTCAGTTCAGGGCACCGGTGAGATATAACGAGGGAAGTTCGGTTGGAGAACAAAAGAGCGCTCCCAGGTGGGCTTGAACCACCGACCTTATGGTTAACAGCCTACGCTCTAACCAACTGAGCTACGAGAGCTGTTCCTGTTCCACACTGTAAATTATATAGCAATATAGGTTGTTTTTATATCAAAAGGCAGCACACATTTAGGCTCCTTGGTACGCTGCATTCCCGGCAGCCATGTGGGAGGAAGGCGTGCTGCTCCACGGCGGGCGAAAGCGATGGCGCCACGGCAGAGCTCGCGAGGACGGCGTGCCGCAGTACATTCACGATCGCCTCATGTTACTGTGTTACGAAAACGACCCGCTACACCTCACCCCCGCTATAGACAACCACAGGTCCGCGAATCCCTCCGAGACTCTCCCCTCCTCTTCTGTTCGACTGTTCTGCTTCGACCACCCAGCTCTGAGCACTCCGCAATTCATTCAGCTGTGACTCACGCGTGTGGCTCATTGGTCCTCGCGACGCGGGATCCGCGAGACCCGTCGCGACAGGGGTATCCGTGGCGTTCCCCTTCCCTCGACGACCCACATTTCCGCTGGTTTAGGTCGACTTCAATCCAAACAATTTCGGAATCAGAGACGTCTCAAAGCCAAACTATCTCGGATTTCAAGACGTCCCTAAACTAGGCTCCTATTCTCCCATACCCTTGCTCCCATGGGTTCACCGATCGAGCCATCATTGATGGGTGTGATGGGGGGAAGCACTTCTTTGATGTTCAACGCTCAATTGTTCACATTCGTCTAGTTTTTTCCACATTCGTTTATTCTGCCTCCTCCACCACTCAGCACTCCTCTCTCTTCCCTTCCCCCTTTCCCCCTAAAAAGGTGTATCAGGGTGATGACAGAGCCAGAACGCATACTCGTCTCTTCATTGCCCACAGCTACTCTGCCAATGCGCTACTGCTGAAGTTCTAACCACCCCGCACCACTCATCACCCCTCACCATCTCACCATACCCGTGCCCTGTCCTACCCCCAAGAATCCACCCCCCCCTTCCCCTCCCACCCATAGGTACATACATCGGGGTGATGACAGAGGCAGCGTGTAGCTCAACTTCCACGAACCTTCCCCCCTTTCCTCCCCGACCCCACCACCAAAAATCACCCCTCACCATCCCTCAACACCCCTCACCGCCCCTCACCACCCATTCATCCTCTCTCAAACAGGTACATCGGGGTGATGACAGAGGCAGCGCGCATATTCGCACACAACTACTCTGCCGACGTGCTGCTGCTCAGACCTTTATCATCCCTCACCACCGCTAAGTACCGCTCTCCTGTATTCCCCCATACCATAGGTACATCGGAGTGATGACAGAGGCAGCGCGCATATTCGCTCACAACTACTCTGCCGACGTGCTTCTGCTTAACTTTGGCCCGCCTCTTCCTGACTCCGAGCTCTACTCGCTCTTCAACAAGAATGTGTGCGAGGTAATGGGTGGTGGTGAGCGGTGGTAAAGGGTGGTGGGAGGCGGTGAGATGTGGTGAAAGGCGGTCCTCCTTCCTGACTCCGAGCTCTACTCGCTCTTCAACAAGAACGTGTGCGAGGTAATGGGTGGTGGTGAGCGGTGGTGAGGGTCGGTGAGAGCTGCCGCTGCTCTCTATCACTTCCCCGCCCTTGCATGTGGCTGGGAGCCTTTTGGGACTGGCCTTGAGGGCCCATGTTGTGTCCTCCTATCAGGGGTTTTGAGGATTCAAAGAGCCTCTCACTGACTGCTGCTCTCCTCCTGTACCCTGCCCTCCTTGTTCACAGCCGGGAGCGCCCTGGGACTGGCCTCGAGGGCCCATGGTGTGTCCTCTCGACATCATCTTTCGAGCCTGCTCCACCATGCACACATGGTAAATACCATGCACAGGCACTGTTTGTTTGTTTGCTTGCTTGTTTTTACCTTTGAGGCTTGCGGGGGTTGTGTGGGAACCAACCCTAGATAGCTGATGAGGCTTGTGACACGGAATCGAAGCGACTTTTGAGTCAACTCAGAAGTCACCGAGCAGACAACGACCAACTCCCTTTTTCCCTCTTCCTTTCACTCCCACTCTCCCTCCTCCCCTCCCATCAGTCTACCAGCAGACAGTGATCACGTGGCAGTGCTACACACGCGAGCAGTCCCAGCAGTAGAGTCGGTTGCCTCACTCTGTCTCCTTCCATCCTGCTCTCCCTCCTCCCCTCCTGCCCAGGCTCGCAGCAGACGACGACCATGTGGCAGTGCTACACACACGCAGCCCCAGCAACGCGGGGGGAGCATGCTTCCTCCGCTTCATTGCTGCGTGCTACCTCTCCCACAGGTACTCTTGCCCTTCTCACCAGTACTGTGTGACACTGTAACGAGGTGTGACACTGTAACGAGGTGTGACACTGTAACGAGGTGTGACTCTGTAACGAGGTGTGACACTGTAACGAGGTGTGACACTGTAACGAGGTGTGACACTGTAACGAGGTGTGACTCTGTAACGAGGTGTGACACTGTAACGAGGTGTGACACTGTAACGAGGTGTGACACTGTAACGAGGTGTGACTCTGTAACGCGGTGTGACACTGTAACGAGGTGTGACACTGTAACGAGGTGTGACACTGGAACGAGGTGTGACACTGTAACGAGGTGTGACACTGGAACCAGGTGTGACACTGTAACGAGGTGTGACACTGTAACGAGGTGCCGCCTCACACACAGATGCCCTCGCCTCGCCTTACTCTCTCCCCCTCTCCGATCCGTTGTTGTGTCCTCCCTATACGCTCCTCTCTCCCCTCGCTCCTCACTCCTCGCTGCTCTCTCCTCGCTCCTCGCTCCTCTCTCCACTAATCTCCCTCTTGCAATGCTAATACTCCTGACAATGCTTCCAAGTCCCCTGTTCCCTTCACCCTCCCCCACCCCAACCACTCACGGCCCCCCTTCGTCCCCCTCTTCCCGTTCCCCTCCACAGCTGCCGTCTCTTATCTTCCCCCATCCTTGCCTATTTCCCTCCCCCTTCTCCTCCCTCATCTTCCCCATCCTCTCCCATCCTCCTCCGTCCTCCCTCGTCCCCCTCCCCAATTCGTTATCCCTTCCCCCACTCTCCTCCCCCAATCCCCTCCAATCACCGCAGAGTTTTCAGTTTTGAGGCGCCTCAAAAGACGCAGAGTCTCCAGTGCGTGGAAGGCCCTTGCTTTCCTCTCCTCCTCATCCTCCCACCCTCCCTGTCCCAATCCCCCTCCTCCTCCCCCTCTCCCCACTTCCCCTCCTCCCCCTTTCCTCCAATCCCCCCCCTTAATCCTCCCCCAACCAGCGCAGAGTTTCCCAGTGCGTGGCAGGCCCTTGCTTCCCTCCCCCAACCCCTCGGCCAACCAGAACTCGCCACGTGGCACCCCCTCCCCCCCGAAGAGCCGGGGGAGGGGAAGGGGGAGCATGGGGGGCAGGGAGAGCTTGGGGGGAATGGGGCGGTGGAGCACCAGAGGGAGGAGTGGGGGGAGGTGGTGGGGGGAGGGCAGAGGGGCAGTATGGGGCAGCAGCGATACTGCACCTACGTGGATGAGTTTGTGAAGGCAGGGCGAGGGGATGAGGTGGGTGCTGTGCTGTTTCGGTGCTATGGATGTATTTCTGGGTGCTCAGGGTGTTGTGCTGACCCACGTTGGGGCAGCATGGCCATGCATCGTTCCTGCACTGCAGGCCTCTTCCCTTCCCTCCAACCACTCCTGCCCCCGGTCATTCCCCAACCCTCGTCCTCCATCTCACCCCCACTAGTCTTCCCTTTCCCCCCTTCGTCTTCCTCTCTCCCCACCCTGTTTTCTCCTGTCCAGCCCACAAAACAATCAGTTCCTAATCCCACCCCGCTTCCCCCTCTCTCCCCTTCCCCCTCTCTCTCCCCTTCCCTCTCTCTCTCTCCCCTTCCCCCCTTCTCTCCCCTTCCCTCTCTCTCTCTCCCCTTCCCCCCTTCTCTCCCCTTCCCCTCCCCCTGCCAGCCATCACTCGCCTCTCTGCCACCCGCTGCCCCAATTCTTCGGAAGCTTATCCTCAGCGCATGCCCATCCATCGATGGGGCCGGCGTCTTTCGGCCGTATCTTAAGGTGGGTCGGCAGTTGTCTCTAGTGGCCGGCAGCAGCGAGAGTGTGTAATGATGGGTACACACTTGAATATGCATCATGATGCAATATGCTCTTGTCATGCTAGCGGTTCACATGCATGCATCGCCCGTCCACATGCATGCATCGCCCGTTCACATGCATGCACCGCCCGTTCACATGCATGCACCGCCCGTTCACATGCATGCATCGCCCGTCCACATGCATGCATCGCCCGTCCACATGCATGCATGTATGCTGCCCTGCCGTTCCGTGTGCTGCTAACTGGTGTTTCTTTGTGGCCGTGCGCAGGTGTTTCGGAGGGGAGCAGAAGTGAGCAGCAGTGTCTTGCCTGGGGAGGTGAGGCGTGGGGGAAGAGGGGGTAAGAGGGGGTAAGAGGGGGAAAGAGGGGGTGAGAGGGGGCAGACATAGCAGCTGGGAAAAAAGAAAGGGTTAGATGGGGGAAATAATCTGTCTTTGCTATCCTTCTTTGGCTCTCCTCTCCTCTCCTCCCTCTCCTCTCCTCTCCTCTCCTCTCCTCTCCTCTCCTCTCCTCTCCACTCTCCTCCCTTCCCCTCCATTTCTCCTGTACAATCTCCCCTGCTCTTCCTCGGATCTCCTCTCATCACCCCCGCCGCCCGCACAACCCCCAACCGCCAGGTGCCGCCCTCCTTCCCTACGGGCTCAGCCTGGATGGTGCCCTTTGAGGTCAACGCGCCTGTGTTAACCTTATTGCGCCTCTGCTGTTCCCCCCCATCTCATCCACTCCCCCGTTCCCCCTCATCCTGCCCGCATACCGCCAGGTGCCGCCGTCCTTCCCTACGGGCTCAGCCTGGATGGTGCCCTTTGAGGTCAACGCGTGGGGCAAATGACTGTGCCTTCCCCCCTTACCTTATTCCTCTTATTCCTCCCATCCCATCCGCATACCGCCAGGTGCCGCCCTCCTTCCCTACGGGCTCAGCCTGGATGGTGCCCTTTGAGGTCAACGCGCCTGTGTGGGGCGACTGTGCATTTGCCGTGCACCACTGGACAGGTAACACCTGTGCATTCGTCCTATCTGTTCTACAGGAAGACTGTGCCTTGTCGTACACATCTGGACGGGTAAACCTCTGGGCGGAAGGGGCCGCATAGCTATCGTTTGAGGCGCCTAAAAATAACTGTTGAGGCGCCTCAATAGTTATCAGCTTGGAAGGACGGATTTTGAGACGTCTTTAAAATCCGCTCGCGGGACTCCCTACCTGGTTGACTTTTGAGTCCAGCTTCCAAAAGTCGAGCGGATTCTGGAGACGTCTCAAAAGTCGATTTCGAGACGTCTCCAAAATCCGCTCGCGGGACTCCCTACCTGCCAGGCAGGAAACAGCAGCAAGGAGGAGAGGAATCTCGTGTTTGTCTTTGCCATTTGAGTCACTTCTTTGCAGTATACCGCTTGTCTGTGTGCCCCTCCGGTCTCTCACTCCCAACCCCCGTCGCCTCACCCCGTGCTACTCACCAGGCAACAGTAGCAGGGACGAGAGTGAGCCTGTGTTTGTCTTTGCCCTTAGTGGGTCGACACTCAGAAGTTGGTGCTTCTCAGGTCTCCTTGCCTCACCCACTACCTCCTCTCTGTGTTTGTCCTTATCTTTGCTGCGTCTTTCTAACTCCCAGGCAACAGCAGCAGGGACGAGAGCGAGCCGGTGTTTGTCTTTGCCTTCCACTCGGCCTTCCTACGCATCGGCCTCACCCGGATAACCCTCCACGAGGTAACGCCTTCTCCTGTACCGCCCGACTGGATTCCCCTAACGCACCAGCCTCACTTGAATGACCTTTACAAATCAACACGTGAGTAGCCCTAGCACCAGTCCCCCTCCCTCCCCTCAACCCCAACACCAGCTCGAGACTGTGCCTACGGGGGAGGCATTCTAGTACCGGCAGATAGAGATGCTGCATCCCCCTCTCTGCAGGGAGTTTTTGAGAATTCTCAAAAACACCCTGCGTCCCCCTCTCCCTTCTCTCCCAGCCCTTCACATCCCCTCCTCCTTCCCCCACCCCTCACCACCCCACCATCTTGACTGTGCCTACGGGGGAGGCAATCAAGTGCCGGCACACCCTAGCAAGCAGACCCTGCCTTCTCTTTTCCCTTCTCCCCCCCCTCCTCCTTCCCCCACCCCCCACCTCCCCACCAGCTTGACTGTGCATACGGGGGAGACGTTCAAGTCCCGGCAGACTTCTTTATCGATGTGCTTATAGAGATGCCGCAGCCACATGGCGGCACGCCATTGGCCGACGACGCCCACTCCGACGGCGCGCCAGCTGGCGCGATGCTGACGTGGCAGCAGCTGCTGGCGGCATACCGGGACGAGTTCGTGGAAGCTTCCAGGAAGCAGCGGATGAGCCAAGGGAGGGAAGAGACGCAGCAACGGAATGCAGCAAGGAGCGAGAGGGGGGGAGAGGAGGCGGTGAGTGGGAGGGGCAGCGCATTGGATCAAGGGAACGAGGTGAGGGGGGCCTGGGATTGGAGAAGCGAAGCCAGGGGAGCTTCGGAGCAGCAGACATTGGAGCAAAGATTGGAGCAGAGACACGAAACTGTGGGTGGGAGGGGCGCGAATCTGCAGCCGGGGAATGAAGCGAGGGAGCAGCGGAGGAGCCTGGCTCGCAGCCTGGTGACAGAGGTGCAGGCACACCCGCTCCTGCGCCACACAGGACAGCCAAGCCACCCAGGCATGCCGGTCATGCAGCCCGTGCCGCCCGGAATGATGTTCATGCCGCCCGAAGTGATGTCCTCTCAACACGACCTCCCTACCACCCCCACAACGCCTCACATGCCGCCCTCCCCCCACTCGCCGCTCCCACACTCGCCCCTTCCCCAACTACCATCCCTTTCCGAAGAATTCAGCCTCTCCCATTCCTCCTCCGCTGCCTCTCCCGCCGCAAGCCAGCCCTCTCAGGAGCTTGACTCTCTAGCAGATCTGCTCATCCGCATGTCTCTGTCCACAGGCTCACGCCATAGTATGGGGGGTGGGGGGTTGAAGGGGGGTGAACGGCATGGCATGGGGGGTAAGGGTGTGAGCTTTGAGCAAGGGAGGGAGAGGCACAGCATGGGGGGTGGGAATGTGAAGGAGAGGGCTGGGGGTGAGGGGAGCATGGTGGGGGGTGCGGAAAGGATGGGCCAGGAGGGGAGTATGGGGGGGAAGAGGACAATGGGGGTCGCGGGGGGGATGAGGGGGGAGGGGGGCATGGGGGACGCGGAGGGGATGGGGGAAGAAAACCAGCGCATGGGGAATGGGGGAGCCTATGTGAGCGCCATACGTGGGGAGGGGAGGATGGGGGGCGCGGAAGGTATGGGAAGGGAATGGGAGGGCATGGGTGGTGGGGATGCGATGGGGGGAAGGCGGGAAGGCAAGGGCATGGGAAGTGATGATGTGAGGGTAGTGAGGGAGGGGAGAGAAGCAGGAGGAGAGTGGGGAGCAGGAGCGGGTGAAGCAAAAGGAGATCACTTGAGAACAAGTGCTGCTCGTTCTGCCAACCACACGACAAGAGGAACCGAACCACTTGCTTCTCCACCTGAACCGTTCTCATTATCACCCTCAACATCAGCAGCAGCAGCAGCGGCATCAGCAGCAGAATTACCAACACTAACATCATCATCTAGAGAAGCAGCAGGAACAGCAGCAGGAGCAGCAGCAGGAGCAGCAGCGGAGGCACGTCCTCCTCCTCCCTCCTCTCCCCCTCTCAAACCCACACCCGATCAACCTACCCAAGCCCCCCCTCCTCCCCCAACCCTCCCTCCGCCTCCCCCTCCCCCAACCTCCGGCCGTCCCCCCCCTCCCCCTCCCCCTATCCGCCTAGCCTCTGGCAAACTGGCTGCGCCTGGGATGGGGAGACAGCAGGGGGAAGGGGAGGGGGGGAGCGCGGAGGGGGAAGGAGACCTTTTCCCCCCAGCGCGGCCCTTGCACTGGAACAAAGTGACTAATGTGAAAGGGACAGTATGGGAGGAGATAGAGAGAGATGGGGCGGGTAAAAAAGAGAGAGAAGAGACAGTAGGGGATGGGGGAATTAAGGGAAGTAGCAGTAACGTTCTTGTATTGAAGGTGACACTACCAGATGACATGAGACGAGCCATCCGGGTGCTTTTCCAGGTGAAAGCAACAAAGCCAGGTGGGAAGTCGAAGACAGGAGGAGGGTTGCAAGCGGAAGGGGGAGGACAGGGGGGGAGGAAGGGACTAGGGAAAGATGAGTTACAAGTGGTTGGTTTGGCTCGTGCTAACAACGTTGCCATCATGCTGACTCAATTCCGCATGCCGGAAAATCAAATCCGAGATCTGATCCTCGCAGGAGATCCCAAGCATGTGCTGCCACCTGACCGCCTGGGCCTGCTGCTTCAGGTGATTCCAACAGAGGAGGAGGTGGCAAAGTTCAGAGCAGTCTCAGGCGCTGCTTCAGGTGCCATGTGTGCACCTGAGCGTTTCCTTTGGTCCATATCATTGATCCCAAGAATGAGGAGGAAAATCGAGGCGCTAATGTTTGTGCGGCATTTCCACACCATTGTCAACGATGCCCGGGCAGTTATAAAAGTTTTCTGTTCAGCTGCCCGAGAGATCCGCAGCAGCAAGGTTCTCCGGGCAGCATTGGCAGCGGCGCTTGAAGTGGGGAATGAGCTCAACCGAGGCAGCTCGAGGGGTGAGTCGTGGTGACGAGGGGTGAGACACAGTAGAGAAGGATAAAACGGGGTGGCGAGGGGTGGGAGGGGTTGGAGAGGGATGAGACAGGAATCATAGGTCTAATACGGAAAGCATTGGGGGTTGAGTGGCAAGAGTTGGGAACGGCAGGCAGGGAAAAGGAAAGTAGCAAAACCGGTGCAACAAAACCACCACTCATAAGCTCCTCTCATACAAAACCCCACATGCATCACTCTCCAACCACCTTCCCACCCTTCTCTGCCCCACCTCCTTCCCCCTTAAATCCCAGGTTCGGCTCGCGGGTTCTCTCTCGATTCCCTCGCCCGCCTGTCAGAGGTGCGAGTCACTCCCCCCTCCCACCGTGCCAAGGGCCTCGACTCACTGTTCACCGCCTCCCAGGTGGCTTTTGAGTCGGCTCAAAAGTCAAACTCCTCCCAGACTCTGCCTCCCGGGCCTCGATTCTCTCGCACACAATCCTCCCCTGTCATACGCGCCAATGCCGCCTCCTCCTCCTCCTCCTCGTCCTCCTCCTCCCCTTCCCCGTTTTCTTCCTCTTCCTCCTCCTCCTCCCCCCGTCCCTCCTCCCCGTTCCCCACATCCTCAATCCTCGCTGCCACCACACCTGCAGCCTCCCCTTTCCCTTCCCACCCTTCCCACCCCTCCCATGCTCCGCCTCTGATCGCCCGTGCAACAACGCTTCTCGACGTGGTTGTGATTATAACGAGGGGATGCCACTCAACCGGTCCAGAAGGGGGAGAGGAGGAAGCAGGGGAAGTGGGGAGCAGCCTTGTGGGCAGTGCAGTCAGAAACAAGGGAGGGGAGGGGGGAGCAGGGAGGAGAGGGAAGCTTACAGTAGAGCTGGCAGCAGTAGGGGAGGCTGTTAGGATGTCCCAGGCTGACGTGGCGGATGCCACGTCAGCACTGGACACTGGTCTGCGATTGGTGGATGAGGAGGTGCGGCTTCTGCAGCAGGAGAGAGAAGAGGGGAGGCTGAAGGAAGTGGAAGAGGAGGAGAAGCAGCAGGTAGAGGGACAGGGGAAGGGGCACGATAGTATGGGAGAGGAGGAGAGGCAGGAGAAGGGGAAGGAGGGAGAGGCAAAGGAAGAGGCAGGGAGCGGGAAGAAGAGAAGGGAGGGCGGGCTGATGGCTGTGTTAGCAGAGTTCAGATTGAGTGCAAGGAAGGAGAGGGAGGAACTGGCCACGGATGCCGAAGTGTGCAGGTGAGCACAATGCGCTGCTGAGGGAGTTGCGTATGGCTGTTGGGAGTGTAGTATTCGCTGTATAAATTGTTGTCATCCGTAGTAGTGTAGCGTACATACATCCAATTTCGCAACATCCGTGTGTCAACGTCTTGGTGAACTTGGTGTGCGCATTGGCATTCTGACCGTCCTGCCTTTCCCTCACCAGGTCAACGCTTCGACAGCTGGCATGCTACCTTGGGGAGTCAAAACCCCAACCCTCGACATCAGATGTAAGGTTTTCTTTTCAGTTTATGTCCACCAAGCTTCGTAGCACAAATGTCCCTCAGTACATTTCACTAAACTCTTTCCTTAATTTCCCCACACTCAAGGTTGTGTTTGACGTGTTTGACATTCGCATGGGGTGTTTTCCTGTGCAGGCACTGTTTGCATCGCTGTGGTCGTTCGCCTCTCTCTTTGATCGAGCACAGGCGACACTTGACATGTGACTGCGACCTTACATGGCTCACTTAACCATCACAACTGACGAAGGCTTGATGATTCTAACACCATGAAACATGTGGAGTAGATGCTATGCATCGAGTGGAGGGGAAGTCAGTTTGTATGGATCTCGTAGAGTTAACACGGCCTTTTCACTGAATTGTTTTCTGGTTGTTGCGCAAGCCTTGTAAAGCATGATGTAACTGCCTGGAATCTCAACATATTCACTGCCAAGTCAACAATGTTAGTTCATCTTCAAAAGCTCGACAACTATAGAGGAGTGCCGTGGCTTGCTAGGTATTGTACTTCGTGTTTAGCTTGTAGCTCGTCTCGAATTACCTCATAACCGTCTCGGTCTGGTTTGTGACGACTATCGAACTCAAGCCCTAGGCTAGGCTGGTTGAGGTTCGCTCTGGGCGACTGGAGGTTCACCGAGCCGTGTTGTCTGGTTCGTCTGGCTCGTTTGTCCGCATGCCCCTTCACCCTGTGAAAGAAGCTTCGGTTCCGCCACCGCCAGCAAAGCACAGCGGACCGCCATACCCTGGACGCGACTCGGTTCAAGGGCTGGAATGTGGAGGTGGGGCCACGGAACTTCGACATTTATCGCCCCCATTTGCACGATAAATACGCGAGAGCAAGGGCATTGCAAACAGACCAATTCGAAGCAGCTCAGAACAACTCGACTTCTCACAACCCAGCACAGCTGACTCTCTGTACTGACTGGTATCCCCTCCGCTACCTCTGAACCGCCTCCAAATTCACTGCACCTGGGACAACGTAACTCATCATTGCAACTCCAGACATGGCTCTTGACAACGATTCTACGCAGATTTTCAAGTCGACGCAACAGCTCGCGTCCGACGAAGACATTGAATCAGGAGCAGAAACTCCCTCCTCTCCACACATCCCCCTTCCCGTTTCCACGTCGCCACAGGGAAAGTCGCTGCCCCTCTTTTGCTGCGCGCCTCCGCTCGCAAAGAACGCATTTTCCGCTAGTCGCATCGCGGACGAGGAAAATCCCGGGGAGTTCACCGAGATTTACCCTTCCGATTTGCGCATCGCCAACCCTAAGGAAGTAACCACCACTGCAGACGAAATAGAGAAGCTTCGCAAGGACGAGAAGGATCGCCAGAGGCGTCGTCGCCGAACCTGCTGCTGCCGCGTCGCATGCTGGTCGCTCATCGTCCTCGCCGTCGTCATCGTCGGATTAGGCGTCGCAGGGCTCGTCGCATACCTGACAGTCTCGAAGCAACAGCCGGAGGTGAAGGTCGAGCAAATCAACATCCTCCGCGTCGGCATCACAAAATCCGGCGGCGGCTTCCTCGGCCTCGAAAACTTCCGCCTGGGCCTATCCGCGTTAATAAACGTCACCGCGCTCGTGTATAATCCCAACAACTGGGACGTGGAGGCTGAAGATATCAGCATCGACGTTAAATTCTTCGACATGCATGTTGCAAATGTGACCCTGCCTGGCGTTGTGGGCATGAGCAAGGGTGGGAGCGCGGAGTTGACTGTCCCCCTCGATATTGTCGACGCGCCCCTGGCGACGCTGAGTCCCGCGAGCCTGCTGACGACGCCGCTGCTGCATGGGCGCGCGGAAATGCGGGTGGTGGTTGGCACTGCAGCGCGCGTGAAATACTGGGGCATCTCGTCGCCGCGCGTTATGGTGCATGTGGAATGCACGATGCAGCTGGACCCGTTTTCCGCTAAGAAGTACAACGAGCAGTGTACACCCAGCATCTCGCTGTGAATGGGGCATGGCTAGGTTAGACTACTCTCGCCATACTCCCCTTAGCTGCTAGCATGCAACCTACTCTACTCGGAGATGCACCTACTTTCCAGGCTAACACATTTCTGGGTACGGTACTCTTTGCCATACTCCTCTTAGCCTTTAGCATGCACTCCTGGTACCGTATTATTTGGTTGTCCCTATTCCAGGGACCTCTACTCAGATGCACCTTAGTTTCTTGCTTTTTTATACTTCTGTTTTCTTACTAATGCAATATGCAAGCAACATCAGCTGGATCTCATAAACAATGCCCCTTCCACAAGAATTGTGTGGTGCAGGAATAGCACATGAAAGGCCCAGCAGTAAGTTCATGAAACGTGTTGTGGTGCAGCATTTCACCCTGCATCTCATGTACTGGTCTTGTTCAAGATTCCGGGTATGTACGAATTGCTCATGCCAATCGTGGCCATGTATGCTAATACGGTAAGCACTCTTCTTCAGTCCCCAAATCGAGCATGCCTCAGCTTCCTGAAACAAGAGAAGTGCATGCCAGGGGAAGTCAGAAAGGTGGAATTTGGAATAAACCACAAGAGGGGCTAGACCAAACCAGTACTGGTAAGAGCTGGCATCGTTATCTGCAGCAACACAAGGACAAACTTCATACAAATAGAAAAGCAGTAAGGGTTGGACGCACCTTGGTGGATAACCGCCAGGTCCTCCTTCACGAGCACGAGGTGGCGACACCTCACTCGCTGAAAGCGGCCGCCCATATCTCTCCCTTCCATCCCCCACCTCCTCAATCACCACTCCTCGCCTCAACACCGCATCCCCGGCCTCTCTCACGCTCTGAACCACAGCTGCTTCTGCTGCTGCTCCTGTTGCATGTAACCCATGTGCTGCTGCTGCTGCTGCTCCATGCATCCCTCGCTCTGATCCCATCCCATGCACTCCTGCTCCTGCCCCTACCACTATTACAGGTACACTTTCCCCTCGAGATCTCCCCGACACTGTAGCAATCGCAGCTGCGGCTGCTGCTGCTGCTGCCGCCCCTCCTGCTCCAAACGAGTGCCTGGACGCGATTCCTGCTGCTGCCGGTGCCGTTGCTGATGCAGAGGTTTGCCGCTCCAAACCTGCTGCCGAGGCTTGGTAAGAGGCTTGGTAGGAGGCTTGGCGAGTGGGTTGGGAGGTGTAGGCAGGATCGAGAGGCAGGTTCCCTGAGACAGTGGCACGGATGGGAAGGGAGGAGGGACCGACGGAGTGGGAGAGATACGTGAAAATTAAGGTCACGGAGAGGGAGAGGAGGTGGAGGAGGAGAAAATGGAGATGTTGTCAGCAGGACTGATGACACGGGTGGAAAAACTACCAGCAACACCTCAGCACCACCAGCAACCACACCAGAAGCACCGCCCCTACCCGCACCCTTACCTGAGTGGTGCACAGATGATTCCAGGGCAGACGAGATGAACTCAAGTTCCTTCAGCCCTGATAGCCCCACTGCCCCGCCTGCTGCCGCGCCCTTCCCCGCGGCTAGCTGTGGCACGGCCATCTGTGACATGTCCGCCAGGCCCTGAGGGTCGATGGGATGGGAGAGAGGAAGGGAGAGGGGAGAGAAGAAGCGTTTGATGAGAAGAGGAGAGAGGCCAAAGGTAATGTGCCCTTCCCCGCGGCAAGCTGCGGCACGGCCGGGCCATCTGTGACATGCCCGCCAAGCCCTGAGGAGATAGGAAGGAAGAGAGGAAGGCAGAGAGGAAGTGAGAGGAAGGAAGGGAGCTGAGAGGAAAGGCAAGAACGCCACGACCTTGCTTGTGGCAAGCTGTGGCACGGCCATTTGTGACATGCCCGCCAAGCCCTGAGGGGAGGAGAGAAAAGAGGGGAGAGGGAGAGAGGAAGAGTTTGAGGTATGGAGGAAGGAGGGCGGGACTGAAGCGCCCTTGCTCGTGGCAAGCTGTGGCACGGCCATCCATGACATGTCGGCCAGGCCCTGAGAGGAGGGAGTCAGGTGGGGAGAGGGAGACGGAAAGAGAAGGTGAACTCAAGCTCTTTCAGCCCCAATAGCCCCACTGCCCCTCCTGCTGCTCCCTTCCCCCCAGCAAGCTGTGGCACGGCCATCTGTGACATGCCGGCCAGGCCCTGCGGGGAAAAATTCAGGTGGGGAGAGGGAGACGGAGAGACGAGGTGAACTCAAGCTCCTTGAGCCCCGACAGCCCCACTGCACCTCCTGCTGCTCCGCCCTTACCCGCGGCAAGGTGTGGCATGGCCATCTGTGACATGTCGGCCAGGCCCTGGGGTACAAAGATTTGAGTACACAGAAAAAAGAGGGAAGCGGAAGCTGAATCATAGACCGTTCACCTCACTGGACCGCATCATCCCCCCACTGAACCGCATCCACTCAACCCCTCCCGTCCCTTCCCACCACTACTCACCTTCAGTAACTCCTGGTTGCCGGGGTTGCCCTGAAGCCCTCTGCTCACGAAGCTGCACAGCAGCAGCACCCCGCGCGTGGCAATGTCCTGCTTCTGCTCGAGCGAGGCCAGCTTGGTATCCTGTGAGGAAGATCAGAGGGGGAAGACAGGCAGCGAACACATTACAAACACAAATGAGAGCAGCAGCAGCATGGCGTGCGGGTGTGCAGGTAGAAATGTCCCGCTTCTGCTCGAGCGAATTCAGATTCAAGTGCCTGTTGCTATACCACAGACAGCCCCCCCTCTCCTGCTCACGATACCCTTCACCAGCCCATGCATGCTTATTGGCGCCTCTACACAAACACCCACCCCTAAAACCTTCCTCGTCCCCCCCCCCCCCCTCTCTGCACTCACCATGCCCTCCACCAGCCCATGCATGTTGTCAAGGTCGCGACTCACACTGGTAACCACCCCCTTCACCTCAATAACCTGCAAAGGGGGAAAAGCAAAGGAGCGGCTTTAAGATTCGGGTTAAAGGGCCTCAGGAAATGCCTCGACTCACACTGGTGACCACCCCTTTCACCTCGATAACCTGCGAGGGACGATTAGGGAGGAGGAGGAGGAGGAGGGTTCTGGGCTTTAACGAATCTTGACACAAGTTCCAGGTTCAGGGTTCAACGAATTTTGAGATTAATTCCGAGACTACGAGGCTGTTGAGTCGACTGTCGACTCGTTGACCAGAAGTCAATTAACGACGTTAACACTCACTCAGCAAACGGACGGATCTTTAAGGTGTTACACTTGCAAATGGCTCAAAGGTAAAACACAGACAGAGACTCGCATGCCTTTCACACTTACACCCAGATACTCTACTCCACTTCCTTCGCTACAGTCACATCCACAGAGGGTGATTCACGTCCTCCTTTACAATCGCTTAGGCCATAAGATACCAAAAATAGGCCAGGTTGCTTAAAGCATACATAAAAAGCTAAGGCTACCAACTGTATCTTCAGTCCCTCAGCCACCGACTTGGACACTCTCTCTTTTCTGATCACACCTAACCGCCCTTCATTACTACCCCCCCTCACTTGCTTCGTTACAGTCACATTCTCTATAAGACACAACCCCCCCCTTCTCACTTATGTCCTTCTTTATTATCTCTTGCATCTTCAGCCCCTCAGACACCGACTTGGACACTCCCTCCCTCGTGGTCTCACTTAACCACACTTCATAAATAAACCCAGCCCCTCACTTGCTTCGTTACAATCACACCCTCAGTGAGTCACTCACGTCCTTCTTAATAACGGCCTGCATCTTCAGCCCCTCGGCCACCGACTTGGACACTCCCTTCCTCCTCGTCACACACCTCACCACCACCCTTTATACACGTACCCAGCCCTCACTTGCTTCATTATAGTCACACCCTACATGAGTCACTCACGTCCTTCTTTATAACGGCCTGCATCTTCAGCCCCTCGGCCACCGACTTGGACACTCCCTCCAGCCGCCCCGCCAGCTGCTTCTTGGCCGTCTGCATGTGGGATGGCAGGAGGGAGGGGGGAAGGGGAGACAGGAGGTAAGGGGAAAGTGGGGATGGATGCGGGAAAGGCGGGGCCTGAAACAAACACCCCCTCCAGCCGCCCCGCCAGTTGCTTCTTGGCCGTCTGCGTGTGAGGAGAGGAAGAGGGAGAAGAGGGGGGGGCGAGGAGGGGTCGGGACGGGGGAGGAAAGATTCAAGGGGTTGAGTGAGGGGATAGATGTGGGAAAGAAGGGACACTCCCTCCAGCCGCCCTGCCAGCTGCTTCTTGGCCGTCTGCAGGTGGCATGTCCGAGGGGGAAGGGGGTGGGGAAGGTGGTTGAAAGTCAAGGGGAAGGAGATGATGGTGGACAGTGGGGGATGGATATGGAGGACAAGAGCCACCCCCTCCAGCCGCCCTGCCAGCTGATTCTAGGCCGTCTGTAGGTGGGAATGGGATGGGAGAAAGGAGAGGGGGAGGGGGAGTAAAGAAACGAAATACTGTTTGCAGCTCCGTCACCTTCTCCTCCATCCCTTCATTGCCTTTCTCACAGAAATAAACCCCACTCACACACAACCCCACTCACACACAACCCTATTCACAAGCGCCGCTCACACACAACCCTATTCACAAGCGCCGCTCACACACATCTGGAACCGCCAGCCCAACGCTCCACTCACATCGAGGGCTGTTTGCAGCTCCGTCACCTTCTCCCCAAAGAGCTTCACTGCCTGGTCCATTTTCCTCCTCGTCACATACATGAGGTCGCTCACTCGCCAGCCCTGCACAGGGAGAGAGGGAAGACAGACAGACAGACAGACAGATAGAGAAGACGGCAGGGAGGCAGGGGGAAGAGGGGAAGGATGAACCGTCTCATCTTCTTCCCCATGAGCTTCACTGCCTGGTGCATGCCCCTCCTCGTTAAGTACATCAAATCGCTCACTCGGCACCCCTGCGCAGCAGACGGGGTGAAGGAAGCAGCAGGGAGCAAGGGGGTAGAAAAGTATGTAGGAAGGAGGGAGGGGAGGAAGGAAATGGCCAGGAAGCGGGGAAGAAGCAAAAAAAAATGAAACATCTTCCCCAGTGCCTTCACTACTTCGTACCTGAGAATCTTTGTCACACAACCTGCAGAATGGCATTCCGTGCCATGCCGTGCCATACCGTGCCATGGCAACACCACCATGCCAGCACCACTGTCACGCACACACACGTAACTTCCACCATATGACCCCATAGCCAACAGCATACAATGCCAAAACTACCACCACGCATGCACACGCACCTTCCACCACATGACCCCATAGCCAGCTGCACCAACGACTGCCACCGGCACCACATACCCCACCCACACACGAACACCGCCATGCCACGTAATGCCATGCCAGCACCACCATGTCATGTCATCCCATGCCATGTCATGTCGTGACATGCCATGCCAGCAGTACCATCACGCACACACACGCACCTTCCACCACATGACCCCATAGCCGGCTGCACCAATGACTGCCACCGGCACCACATAACCCACGATGCTGCCTGCTCATACACACAAAGAACACAAGTGCGAAAACGGGCAAGAAGAAACACAGCCTCAAATACCCCACGAATCACATAGGTGTGTACAAGAAAAGGACGCTCACACATCCTGACAACAAACAACCTACAGCTTCGAGACGCCGACCCAAAGGTGACAAACCGAATTCTAGAGTTTGAAACGCCGACTCTAACATTCCAATAGACCTCCTTTCTTCATTCTAGTGGAGGCGGCGTGTAGACTGCTTCTGAGGAACCTGACCGAAAACAAACTCTTTACCCTCTCAGAGGCGACTCACCTTTTAGGGCTCCTAAAAAACCTTCTTACCTTGATGTTGTTGTGCAGGCGGCGTGTTGACGACTGTGATTGGTCGAGAGCTGGTGGATAGCTGCTGCACCTGCAGGCTCAGCTTGTGAACCTGCGAGGAAGGTTCCAATGGGGTGGGTGCGGGCGACACAGATGAGGTGATGATGACGTCAGATGCAGGTTCAATGAAAGCAGCTTCTACACTAGACAGGAAAAGGGGTGAGAAAAGGGGAGAAACGGGGCTTTTAATCACGTGGGAGCGAGCCTGGTGTATTAGTATTCAGAATCATGTTATACTATCTATTGCTCACCCTTTCAAAACGAAGCGCCTCCAAATCACGTGAAAAACAAAAGTAATGGAAAAACTGCACCATACCTGGCCCACCAAAACAGCGGCAACAATGTGCCTGATCGATCAATGCAGCAGCAGCCACAGCAGGAGGCACCTTACCTGGTGGCAGCAGCCACAGCAGGAGGCAGGACACCATACCTGATCAATTAGTGCCATGTTGACGTCATCTGAATGGTCTCTCTTGCTGTCGGATCCATCATCTATTGACTTCAGGTGCTTCGATACCACCTTCCCGGAACAAACAGGGGAAAGAAAGGTTGAGGAAGGAAAGAGGCGGAGGTGAGTGTGTGTGGGGGAAGAAAATTGTACAGGGGGAACAACTGCCAACTACAGCCCATAGTGATCAGACAGGTTGCGAGGCGTCCGAAAGAGAGAAGGAGGCCCGGAAGGAAGAGGTATTGTCAGCTATAGCGCATGCTGATTACTCGAACGTCTATACCCTGGCGATAACTCAAACGTCTAGACTCGCAGGTTTGTTGAAGAGTTAAAGGCGGACTGCGGTTGAGAGAGGCTCGTTGGAAGCGGATTACGGTTGAGCAAGGTTCTTTCACAATAAAGCGTAAGATCGGAATAGCCACGGCAAGTCCGAGAGAGGGAGAGTAAGATCACATGGCGAGGTTGTACGAGAGGAAGGTAAAGATCGTTAGAGGTCGGGTAGACTGTCGGGAAAAGCAGAAAACAGATCCACTTTCCACTCCGTTACGAATGATGACTAAAACGCGTATGGGGACGGACGAGGGGCACGTACTCGAGTGATATCACGAAGGAGATCCGCGAATCCGGCGGGACCAAGAACGCTCATACCAGCTACGCCTGCGCGTAATGAGTAGCGAGTATAAGCGGGCGCAATGAACGGCAACGGAATTCAACGCGGAAAAAAGCGACTCGATTGGGAAACGAGGTGTAATAACTCCAAGGCCCGAATCTCAACAAGAACGTCTTTGACCATATCGAGGAAACAACTGACGAAAATAAACAAAGCTCGAAACTTCTCGAAGCTAAGAGCTTCTGGAAGGAGCAAATACATAGAGTCTGACACCCCTTGTGTCGTCATAGGTCAGACGCCTTACCTGCACCAACGATCAAATACAGCGTCAGGGGTTTGGTGGCCATTGCGTCCTCCTTTCGGAACCTCCTATAACGAAACCTAGCCTGCCTCGGTCTCGCTGCACGCAATCAGCTTCTAAATCAAGATCTGCTTTCTAGAAGGTCTAAACTACACGAGAACTTTGCCGGATTGACCATTCCCAACGCTCGTGGCGCTTCAAAAACGAAGTGTGTTGTTAGGGTGTAGAAACGACTAACTACTACCAAGGCGAGAGCTTAGACGAGGCTGATAAAGACGCTTCGACCAACGCGACAGATCGACGTGACTTCGAGAAGCTATCGAGCAACGGAATGCCAGCACAGCTTAGCTATGGCGAGACGAATAGACTCTTGAACTAGAACGGCAGTGGTCTCTGTGAAAACAGGAACAAGAAACACGAAAGCCGAGTCAGGCGGCTACGCTGTAGACCTTTCACGAAACTCGACCTTGACAAACAAAGCTTGAGCTTGAGTCCTCCTGACTTCTGACTTCTCCTGACTCCAGTCGAACAAAGCACCCGCCAAAACAGCTTCACCATGTTCTATCAAGCTTGCTTGTTTGGCGATGGCTTGCTCTTTGCCAAGATTTCTTGGAGGATTCTGCTACTCCACAACGGGGATACAGTGTACATGGAATGGAACAACCTCGAGGGAGAAGTTTGGACCAATGAAACAGCAGCACTGGGAGGTCATGGAACCACTCCGAGGGAAGGGCTCGTGCGGCCTCCTCGCACTACAGTCAACTTGTGTAGCTTTTCTACAGTAAAACAAAGCGTTTGCTCACCCCACATGCATATGCTGAAAAGAATGTGCAGTTTCTATTATGGATGTGCTTGATTCGTGCTAGTACTATCACACAATTCAATAATGGTTTGCCTTACAGGATTCATGTTTCTCTTGTCTACTGGCTTACCTATTATCAGCCAAGCATCTTTGTATTATGAACAAATTAGACCTGGAACCATGAATAACACACACATGAACTCTATGCACACAATGTGTCATGGGCATCAGGAATCTAGATGCCACCCACTTCACTCATCCACATCCCCCCCCCCCCCCCCCCCCCCCCCAAATCTATTGGGGTCTCTCCAATAAGCGCTGTAATTTCTGCTGCTCTAGCACATACAAAAGCCATCACATCAGACCCCCAAGCCCCCAGACACACCCTTCCCCCGTCATTCTCACAGACACCCCATTTTCACCACCACCCCTTGCTTCCCGCACCCCCATCAACCCTTCACGCAAGTCGAAGGGTTGCCCATGGGAAGAAATCCCGCTTCACACTCACAAAAGAACTTCTGGTCACTTCCCTCCAAGTGATTCAGCACACACACTCCCTTGCCCCCGCACTGCCCCTCGGGACTGCCGGTCCCGCAAAACTCCTCGCACTCCTTCGGAGGCCGCTGCTTCACTTCGCATGAATCCGTGGAGCTCAGGCAGTTATCGTTCACGTAGATGCTTTCAGGGTACTCGTACGGGCAGACCGTTGACATGGCAGGAAGGTTCTCCGAGCCGGGCAGCTGAATGTCCAGCGAGTAATTTCCGTAAAAGAAGTTTCCCTCGAAATCCAAAAGAGACCGAAGCATGTAACACGATGTGGTGTCCAAGCCTCCTACACCGTTAATACCGCAGCCTCTAGAAAAGCGGGGAAACTGAGGCAGAGGCCCAGTCAGGAAGTTGTCTCCAATTTTCACCGCGCGCGCCTTGTGCGAAAACAGTTTAAATGAATCCGGTACAAGGCCAGAAAACTGGTTATTGCTTAAATCGAGGTTGACTAAACTGGGGAGTCGCCCGAGGAAGTTGGGAATTGGTCCGGTCAGCTTGTTCCCGCTAACGTCCAACACTTCAAGACCGGAAAGATCCGCAATAGTAGTCGGCATCAGATCCGAAAACTCGTTATTCTTCAAATCGATGACGGAAATCTCTTTGCAGCTACCGAGACTCCTCGGGATCTTTCCGTAGAACTTGTTGTTGCCCAAAAAGAGCGCCTGCAGCGACGTCTGCCTTGGGACGAATCTTTCCCGAAAACTTATTCCCATCAAGACGGAGAGTCGACACCTTGGAGTCACTGGAGTAGAAAAACTCGATCCAGGGGACCTTCCCTTCCAACAAGTTATCGCTCAAGTAGATTTCCTGCAGCGACGTCAAGTTGGAAAATATTCCTGTAGGGATGCTTCCAGTAAGCTTGTTCCCGCGCAAATCCAGCGTCGCGAGATCGTGAAACTTTGTCAGCTCCTCAGGAATTTCGCCTTCCAGATTTGCGTTCGGCAACTCCAAGGCCACGACGCCGCCGTCAGAGTCTACAGTAACCCCCCACCACTGGTGCTCCCCTTCCGTATCCGACCATGTTTCAGCTTTGAAAAAATCGGAGCCCCACGCGGTCTTGAGCGAGAGAAGGGCCGCGCGCTGCGCGTCATTCGGCTGAATCGGCGAGCTTTCGGAATCGTACTGCAGGAAATCAGACTCTTCTGCCGCGGACTGACGCAGGAAGTCTGCCTGTTCCGCCTCAGAGAGATTCAGCAGCCCCTTGTCGTCTAAACCGTCATCCTCGCCGTCGTGCAGAGCGGAGTCGCCGGTCAGCTGAAAGCTGTCGGCAGCTGGTGTCGCTAGCTGCCGTCTGTCTGATACGGCGGCGACAAGTGCGGTGCGAGGGTGTGAGAAGGTTGACGAGAGAGCGAGAAGGGCGAGGACGGAGTGGAGAACCTTTCGAGTCATGGCGGAAGCAATTCAAGAACTCTCTCGCCTACGTGGGCACTATTTGCCGAGGTCGTTTGCCTATGAGAAGTCCACGATGTTGAAAGGTCCTTCGAACCTCCTAGAAATCGTTTGGAAATCGTGCTGATGTTTCTCCTTCAAGCGGTCCTCAAACGAAAGCTGGAACGCACCGCTCCAAGTCTATCAGGCGTTCGCACAAATCAAGTGTGGGCAGGCATGTGTGTGGCTGTGAAATGGAGCGGAAGGAAGGGGATGGAGCGGTGGTGAAGGGGAGATGTCATAGGTTGTCAAAAGGACTGACTTGTGTTTGGTAAAACGGTCGAGTACGATGCTGGGGACTTTGGAGGGTCTTGTACTGCGTCACCGTTTCAAAACGCAACGAACCTCTGAATTCTGGTGCATGAATCAACGAACCTCTGACCGTGTTCTCCTCCGTCTCCTCTTGAGGCACTGGTGAACAGGGGGAACGGGCGATTGGTGCTTGCAAACCAGTGTGGGAGGAGGGAGGGACTGAATGAACTTGAGCCAGTTTCTGGCAAAGGTGATATGCTTCAGGAGATATTGCTGATTTTTCTCGGCGAGTCGCAGGTGTAAATGCGTCTCTGACGGCAGGGGGATTTGCGACCTTTGGCGATGTATTTCCCAAACATGGTATAGGGAAAGGCCAAGAATGTGCATTTTCGCAGAATACCCTACCCAACCATTTTAGTGTTTAATTGGATCACTGAGACAAACATCTAAAACGTTCTCAACCACATCTGGACGTACTCTCCAGGAGAGCCCTTATACGAAGGTTACCAAAAGGTCATGTTACATCACCGTTCAATCGCCCACGCCCCGTGGTTGATGGCACGACACGTCGTTGCTGGCACTCACCCCTCCACCAGTTCTTCCGGCGTGGTTCACGTGTGATTCCCATCACCCCATATCAAGAATAAAAGCGCTACTGCACTTCAGCAGCATCAAAACAATAGTCCATATTATTGAGTCAGCCAAAAACGAGACGATTCCATCACTTTCTCCCTCACCTTGGGGATGTGATGAGGGAACTGGAAAAGCAGCAGCAGCAGCAAGTGCAGCAGCAGGACTGACAGGCTTTTTGCCTTGAAGTTTGCCCGCCAAAACCGAAGGCAGATTTGCTGGTGATTTGCACAGCAGGCAGGTCCGGACAAGGCGTCATAGTCCTAAGCGAGCCTTTAGGGAAGCGAGCGTCTTCGACGTACCTTCGAGCGTACGACAGACTAAACGGTTCCGGTAGCGGTTGTTAAGCATTAAAAAGTGTGAACCCAGGTTCCACATCCTATTCACCGTGTTCTTAACGTAAGTACGCAAACAACTGAAAATCGAGTCAGTACGACTCGCGGTTGCCATCGTAACTGTGCTAAACCCGCCCGCATACTCGCGAATATTCTTGGACATCGAGCTCCTGTTGTTCGTAGGCGAAAGTTTAGCAATATCCCAGAAGGAAATCACTGCGAGGCCTGTTTCACAGTTACCTGGTTACCTTCATCGTCGTCGTACTGACTTGCGTGGGTAAACTTTTATATTACCAATAAACTTCTAACATTCGCCATGTCAGCTACGGCTGTGCGCGTGGCACCTAACAGCGTCGTCGTCGTGCCGCCGTTCGAGTGCGCGTGGCTGGACGGCGCCGGCCTGCAGTTCGGCCGGCCGGGCCGCGGGTGCGTGGTCCTGGAGGTGCGCGGCGAGAACGACGCGACGGTGGTGATTAAAGACACGCGCGACGGGAGCCGGCACTATCGGACGGACGCGGGACGAAACTACACGGTCGTGTTCGGCAGCCATAGGAATAGGCGGCTTAAGCTGGAGGTTGATGGGGTAGCTGTGGCTGAAACAACTAATTTTGAGTGTTTGCAGTCTGGTATTGGCGGGGGGGCCGCCACATGGAAGAACAGGATTGGTTCCAACAGCAGCGGCGGTGGTAGCTGCGGCAGCGGCGGCAGGAGTAGCGAGGTCAGCAGCTGCAGCAGCAAAAGCAGATCGAATTGCACGTGCTTCGCGTGTACAAGCCATGGTAGTTTGACCAGCTTCGCGCACTTGCCGCTTCAATCCGTTGCAAGGCTTTTAGGTTCTAAAAGTGATCGTACTGTGGATCAGTATAGCGGTGTAGATACTGTAGACGGCGGTGGGCCCCACATGGCGATCGCCCCGTCGGAATTCCGAGCCTTTTGGATAAACGTGGTGGATGGGCGGATCGCGGTAGGCTTGGGTGCCGAGCCTGGCAGGCGGGTGGTGCTCTTATACAACGACCGCAACCCGAACCTGGAGGTGAGGTTCGTCGGGCTGAGCACGTGGGATAAGCACGTTGGATATAGGAACATCCGTGTGTTGCCACATGTGAGGATACCTAGGTCTGTGTGGGAGACCATGGGCGGAAGAGCCAGGGAAGACTGTTCGATTCACAGCAGCAGTAGCATCAGTACCCTCAGCAGCAGCAGCAGCATCAGCAGCACAGGCAGTAGAAATGGCAGCAGCAGCTTTAGCAGCAGCAACAGCTGTAGCAGCAGCAAGAGGCATTTAGATCATAGCAGTGAGAGTCTTGATGGCAGCAGTAGTGGCACTATTGGCTACAGTCACTTCAGATGTAACCGAGTCAACCTTGACAGCACCAATGGCTCGTCGCCACGTGGGTTCTGGGCGTCTCTGGTCAACTCCTACGAGTTTTCAGACATGGCTTTTGCCATTGGGGGAGATGGTACTGCTAGTGGTGCTGCTGATGTTGCTGGTACCGCTGGGGCTAGTGATGCTAATAGCAGTGCTGTCGCTTCCAGTGTTGACGGTGGTGCCGACAGAAAAGTCAGAGGGACACGAATCCCAATGGCTGGGGAGAATCCAGGGAACATTCCCGTTCCCACCTCCTCCTCTCCTTGCCTGTTTCCCGCTCACAGAGTGGTGCTGTCAGCAGCATGGGCAGGCTTTGAGGCCTTATGCAGGCGCTTTGGATCTGAGGGGTGTGTTGCGTTGTCGATGGGAGGAATATCAGGGAAAAGTGATGCCAATGCGGCCGGTGTGGGGGCGAGTGGGGGAGATAGCGTGATAAGAGGGGGTGACAGAAGAACCCTGACAGCAGCAGCAGGAGTAGCATTAGCAGCAGCAGCAGCACTCGTCGCAACTCGACCCGCTGGGTCACTACAGGGGCAGGAGGGTGAAGAGAAGCTAGCTGTGGTCTCCCTGCCTCACGTCGACCCCGATCTCTTTCTGCTCCTCCTTAGATTCTATTACATGGGCCAAGTTGAGGTGATGCTTCTTCTTTCTCTCTTTCCTCTCGCGCTCCTCTCTCTCCTCTCCTTTCTCCCTCCGCTCCCAAGTGAAGCTAGCTGTGTTGTCTGCCTCGCGTTGACTCTCACCACTTTCTGCTGCTCCCAAGATTCTATGACTCGTACCAACTTCTCCCACCTCTCTTCTGCCACCCTAGCTGTGTTCTCGTTGCCTAATGCCTCACGTTGACCGCGACCTCTTCCTGAGCTTCCTCGAATTCTTCTCTTCCTTAAGCCATCTTCTCCCCCCTCTCACTCTCTTCTTCCCCCCCATTCAGGTACCCCTCGCGCTCGTCCGCCCTCTCCTCTCTCTCGCACACGACTTGGGGGCGCAGGAGTTGCTTCAGGAGTGCGAAGCAGCACTGCAGACGCATGGCATAGATTATGGGGCGCCTGGAATACGTCCAGATGCATCTGCATCTGCACCCACCATGCTGGGCCCATACTCCGCACTTGCACCCGCCCACACGAGCTCATACTCTGCATCTGGACATACTATGAGTGCTACGAGTGCCACGACTGCTACGAGTGCCACGACTGCTACGAGTGCCACGACTGCTACGAGTGCCACGACTGCTACGAGTGCCACGACTGCTACGAGTGCCACGACTGCTACGAGTGCCACGACTGCTACGAGTGCCACGACTGCTACGAGTGCCACGACTGCTACGAGTGCCACGACTGCTACGAGTGCCACGACTGCTACGAGTGCCACGACTGCTACGAGTGCCACGACTGCTACGAGTGCCACGACTGCTACGAGTGCCACGACTGCTACGAGTGCCACGACTGCTACGAGTGCTACGGAATCCTCTGCTACAGAAGAACCTCTGGCACCAAGGGCCTCTGCAGTCGTAGCATATAGGGGTGGCTCTACGGTCAGTGCTGCTCCCAGTGCTACAGCTGCCGGGAGGGGGGATGCGGGCAAGTCATCCCAGTCAACCAAGTCAACGAGGGCTGTAAAGTCAACGCCAGTCAACGGGCTTGTGTGTCTGTGTTACCCAGTGGGCAAGAGTCTGCAGCAGCAGGAGCAGTCGGCCTTTAGAAATGTTGATCAATCAGGCTCACAGGAAGGGTGCTCCCAAGGGCCGTGTGTGGAGGAGCAGACGAGCAGGGGTTTGAGACAAGGAGATGGTGCAAGTTCAGGTGCAAGCTCAGGTGCTTGTTCAGGTTCAGCTTCAAGTTCAGGTCCAGTATCAGCTACAGAAGCAATGGGTGTTCCGCTCCATTTCCTGTCGTCTGGTAAGCCGTGCCGTCTGTCTCAATACCTGCTGTGTGGCTGCTGTAGCAGCGGCGATAGGGGCATGTTTCCAACGGGGAGAGAGTCAACTGATGGAACAGAATCAAATCCAGGAGCCTCCCCTGCCAGCAATCCTGTCGGATACACTCAAACTCACAGTCATGATTGCAGCAGCTACAGTGACGTGAGCGTGCGGGCGGCGCAGCCCGGCAGCACTGTGTTTCGAGCACACCGCGTGGTGCTCTGCGCCTGGAGTGCCGCCTTTCACAAGGCGAGTGTTTTCTCCTGCTCCCTGCTCTCCCTGCTCTCCCTGCTCCCTGCTCTCCCTGCTCTCCCTGCTCCCTGCTCTCCCTGCTCCCTGCTCTCCCTGCTCCCTGCTCTCCCTGCTCTCCCTGCTCTCCCTGCTCTCCCTGCTCCCTGCTCTCCCTGCTCCCTGCTCTCCCTGCTCCCTGCTCTCCCTGCTCCCTGCTCTCCCTGCTCCCTGCTCTCCCTGCTCCCTGCTCCCTGCTCTCCCTGCTCCCTGCTCTCCCTGCTCCCTGCTCCCTGCTCTCCCTGCTCCCTGCTCTCCCTGCTCTCCCTGCTCCCTGCTCTCCCTGCTCTCCCTGCTCCCTGCTCCCTGCTCTCCCTGCTCCCTGCTCCCTTTACGCCAGCTCTCTGTGCTTGTAGCACTAAATTTCGTACTAAGGAGTAGGTATTTCTTAACCTCCTTCCATACCCGTCTTCTCTCGTTCAATCAGATGTTGACAAGTGGCATGCGGGAGGCCACCTCGCACGAGATTGTAATCGGAGGTGCTTCTAATGAAGCTGTCGCCGCTCTCCTGCACTTTTTCTATTCCGGACAGCTCCCCCCTGTGCGCTCATCACGTGCACACTGCAAACACCTGATACAGTCACACCCAGCACAGTCACCACCGTTGCAGTCGCCCCCAGTACAGCCACCCCAATTACAGTCACCCCCACTACAGTCACAATCTTCGACAGCAGCAGCACCTGAGAGTACTCAGTGCGTGTTGCTCTCGCTGCTGTGTCTGGCTGACCGCTTCTGCATCCCAGCCATGCACCATGCAGTGAATGAGCAGCTGCTGACGTGTGTTGATGAGGTGAGCTCGCTTCTGCCTGGTTGACCGCTTGCTTCTGCATCCCAGCACTGCAACATGCAGTGAACCAACGGCTGCTAGCATGTGTTGATGAGGTCAGTGAGATGCTATCTGTCACAATTATACCATCCCTTCCCCTTACTGCTGTCGCTGCTGTGCCTGGAAAACCCTGCTTGTATGACATGACATGAGAACAGATGAATAAACATACCCTTCCTCCCTTACCCTACTGCTCTCTCCCGACCCCCCTCCTCCCTCTCTCTCCATCCAGACATCAGCATTTACCACACTGCGAGTCGCTTTGTCAATCCCCGGGGAAACCTGCTCGCACCTGACAGCTGTCGCCGCCTCATTGGCCGCGGCGCGGTTTGAGCGGTGCGCCGATGCCGATGGGGATGGCCTGAGAAGGCTGCCTGCTCCTGCTCTCGTTGCTGTGCTGCAGGTAAGTTGTGCTTATTGCGCTTATACCACTGTTTTGTTTGTTTGTTTTTTTTTTTTTTTTTTTTTTCAAAACCCGTGCTTGCCCTCCCTTCCCTGTCTGCCTGTTTCATTTTGATCTACCAACATCATGATTACCACCCGTTTGGTTACCACGTGTGTGGTTACCAGAGCCCCTTTTTTTGGGTGGCCAATGAGAAGAGAGTTCTCGATGCCGTGCTGACGTGGGCCATGCAGCGTGCTGACGTCAGCAGCTGGGAGGAAGCGGAGCGAGTATTGGGGGAAATGTTGATGAGAGAGGAGGAGGAGGAAAAGTGGGATGAAGGGGAGGACGGGGGGAAGGAGGAGGGGGAGGAAGGAGGGGACAAGGAGGAGAAATCTGGGGAGGAGGGATGGGGGGAGGGCAAGAAGGGTGAGGGTAAGAAAGTTATGATTGATGGGAAGAGGAGGAACGGTATGTGGGTGAAAGGGGAAGAGAGAAGGGAAGGGAGGGGGGACGATCCCGTTGTAGCAGGGACTGCTTATATCGAGGATATACTTCAAGCTGAGCTTTTGGGTCGGTTACAGTTGGAAGGGGCTGAGCCCATGCTGCAACAGGTGAAGGATGAAGAGGGAAAATGGGAAGAAGAGGAGGACGGCAATGAAGATGAAGGAGGGGAGGAGGAGGAGGACGAAGTTTCTGGGTTGCTGCAGCACGTGCAGTTCATGTCGCTCCCTGATTCGCTCCTCGTCAGGCTCAGAGACAGCCTGCTTGCCACGTGGCTGCCCACCATTCGCCGATACGTATGTGCCTTTTTTGCCACGTGGCATCACCTCTTTCGCTCCGGAGCTTGTGTTAGTCGCTTTCCTTTCCAATGTCAGTCTTGTCAGCCTTTTTTTCTCCGTGTGTTGTCCCTCATCTCCCTTATGCCCTTTGCCCATCCTCTCTCTCCTCCGCCCCCGTTCCTCTCCCCTTCTCCCCCCTTCTACCCACTTCTCTCCCCCTTGCTCTCCTTCTCTCTCCCCTTCAGGCCATCAAGGAAATTGCGCGTCGCAACCCACACACCAACGTACCCAGGGAATCGCAAGGCCATCCCTCCTCCTCCTCCTCCTCTTCCTCTTGTGCCACATACCGCCTCTCAGCTTCTGAGTCATCTGAATCACAAAGGAACGACAGTTATTCAAACAGCCTTCCCGAGACATTTTCCCACAGTCTCTCTGGCAATCTCTCTCACAGTTTCTCTCCCCCAGATTATTATGGGCATGCTTCAAGTCTCTCCCTCTTGGGTCACCAACCGCAGTCCAATTCTATAAGGTTAGGTTCGATTCAGTCGGATGATATCCAGGTTGATCTCGGCCGTCGGATCGTTCGCTTCGCGTCCCCGGACCTCCCGTCCCGACCCTGGCCGACAGGCTCGGCGGCTGCTGTGCCGCGGGCCTGGTCCCTTGAAAGCGGTGGAGAGGGGTGCGTGGCAAGAGAGAGGGGTGGTCAGGCACACGCGTGTGCAGCAAGGGATGGGGGTGAGATGCACGAAAGAGGCGCAACAGATTCTCAGAGACCTATAAGTGGTGGGTTGAGATGGGTGGATAGGGAGGTAGTAGGAGAGGAAGGGGCGGAAGGGGGTGGAGAGCGGTGGGGCGGGATGGAAGGGGAGGATCAGAGGGGAACGAGAGCGGGGGACCGTTTCAAGGCATTTGAAAAGTCGGGGGAGGGAGGAGATGCTGAGGTGGAAGGTGGGGGAGAAGGGGGACGGTGGCGAAACAGGGAGAGTCTGGGAAGGCAAGACGGAGCAAATGGGTGGAGGAAGAGAGCAGGGGAGAGTCTTGAGATGGCTCACAAGTTGGAAGAGAGAAGAGACTGTGAAGGGGGAGAGGGGAGAGAGGGGGGCAATGTGGTTGGGGGGTTAGTGCAAAGTGTGGAGAGAGGGGAGGAGCGAGGGGAGGAGCGAGGGGAGGAGCGAGGGGAGGAGCGAGGGCTGAAGAGAATTGGTGACGAGAATCGTGTGGAAGAGAAGGCAACTGACAAGCAAAGGTTGACAGGGAGGGGGTTGACATGTCGGGAAGAATCCATGCCGCCAGGTCGGGTTTCTTTGGCCGCTAGTGACAGGATGGAGGCGGGTGGAATAATAGTGGGGGTAGTAGACACTGCAAGCCAAGAGGAGGGGATGAAGTGTGACTATATCGAACGGGAAAGAGTGACTATATCCAGAGCATTAGGAGGGGGGGGAGTTGGTGACTGTACAGAGAGGGAGGGAACGCCGATGGCAGGAGTTGAAGATGGGCGGAGGGGGAGGGAGAGGAGCGATGCTTCGAGTTTTGAGTCGACTCAAAACTCGTCTCATCACACGAGGAGCGATGCTTCAAGAGGGTTTGGGATATCGCGAAAGGCCGGTGGTCCTCGGTTCAGTCAGCAGCTACTCACGCAAAAGCTGCTGGCTGCTGAAAGGCTGTTGGCGGGTGTCTCGAGCGCACCTCGCGTCCTTCAATACATGCACGATGGGGATAAGAATGGTGTGTGCTTCCATGCGGGCACTTCCTACGGGCGGCACCCCTGGATGAACCCCGTGCTGCTGGAGGTGAGTCAATGTGTTGCAACATGTACCTTTACTACCATGCATGCATGAGCGCTCCTCGTGTGCTGCAGTGCATGCACGATGGGGATAAGAATGGTGTGTGTTTCCATGCGGGTACCTCGTATGGACGACACCCCTGCATGAATCCCGTGCTCCTAGGGGTGAGTTATCTGTTACAGCATGTAGCTCCTTTTAAGACGTCTCAAAAGCTTCGCTACAGTGCATGCGTGCCACAACAAAGATACGAACGGTGTGTGCTGCTACCCCAACCCGCCCCCTTACTCCCTCCCCTCCTTCTTCCATTCGTCTCATAAACCCCCCCTCTCCCGTGCCCGTTTACCTTGCACCCACCCCTCTCCCTTCCCTCCCAGACCCTCTCAGTGGCAGCCAGCAGCCCTTTCGGCCCCTCTTCCCCGTCCCACTTCCCCCAACTCGTCCTTTACCTCTCCCTCCCCTGTCCCACTCCCCCTCCCCCCCACCTTACCCTCTTCCCTCCCAGACCCTTTCAGTGGCAGCCAGCAGCCCCCCTTCGCGCTACACCGATGGCAAGGTCATCGCCTCGGGGGACTATGTGGTGAGTGTGTGTGGTAGAGTGCGGTTGGATGCGGTTTAGTGCGGTGCCATGCGGTGCTGTGCAATGCTGGTGCCTAGCATGTGGTTCTCTCGCCCTCTTAGTGGCAGCCAGCAGCCCTCCCCCGCGCTACACTGATGGCAAGGTCATAGTCTCGGGGGACTATGTGGTGGTGAGTGGTGTAGAGTGCGGTTGAATGCGGTTTAGTGCGGTGCCATGCGGTGCTGTGCAATGCTGGTGCCTAGCATGTGGTTCTCTCGCCCTCTTAGTGGCAGCCAGCAGCCCTCCCCCGCGCTACACTGATGGCAAGGTCATAGTCTCGGGGGACTATGTGGTGGTGAGTGGGGTGTGCAATGCGGTGAAGTGCGGTCCTTATATGCCCAAGCACCACCCCTGCAGTGCTCGTCC